AAAAAAAAAAAAAAAAAAAAGAAAGAAAAAAATGCGGTGCAAGTTGTCACCGGGAAAGAAACGGTAAGAAGTTCGCCTGCAGCAGCTGTTGCCAACTTTTCACATTTATCATTACGGTGCATCGTACATCTTTACAGTTACATATCGCAGAGGAACAAACTTGCGCATCAAATAATCTTGCCCCGAACGAGCAGCTTTAATTTCCCCCCCTCCAACACGAAAATATGACGAATATCTCGTCCTTAATGAAAAATCTACGGTTTTTTCTCTGTTCACAACATTGAACGTTTTATTTGTCGCTTCTGAACATTAATCTGTGCTATCTCAAATGTTTCTGTTCAGCTCTAAGTAAAAATTAAAACAGTATAATGTTGAACAGATTGTATGGTAGAATGGAATGGAACAAAATTCTTTTCTGTTTATCATTGACTTTTCAATAGAGGATAAAATTTAATAATATTAGTGTTTGCATTGATTTTATAAATTTTCGTTAAATTTGTAATAATTTAATTTTTCTTTGAAACAAAAAATGTTTGAACAATAATTAAACATAGAAGATAAAAATTGGTTCTCTACTAAGAATAAATTTAATATTTAAAATTAAATAATTAATTTACTAATCATATAGTATCAAAATTTAACAATTTTTTTAAAATATATATACTACTATAAATGAAACTAAACTAAAATCATTATTAAACAATTTTAATAAATACTTTTCAATATTAAAACAATTTAAACAATTTAATACGAAAAAATTTTGACAAAATAAAGCTATCATAAAATATCCCATTATAAATTAACATATCCCAATTACTATTTTAAATATTTTCTAAATTTCTTCCAATAGATTAAAATATCTCTAAACATCAAAAATTCCTTCCTCGACCAGGATAGAATAAATCTAGATAAGCATCATCTTAACGACCAAAGATACAAAATCTCATGCATTCTCTCGTTGAAATGCATTGTGCGCTTGGTCAAAACGTAAAAGGCAAAATTATACTGCTAATAAAACGACTAGCCGCAACTCAGACATATATATATGATATATTAAGTAAGTCTGTATATATTAAAACTCATTCATTATCATTTGAAACAAATTTTGTCCAAAAATAGGACTGTTTATTATCGCGCAAAGGCATTAATACGAGATTGTTCTTTTGCCATAGATAGTGGACGATTGGTACCACATGGTGCACACGTCAGTCGTGAAGAGATCAGCGGAACCGCATTTCGGAGTGCAGGGGAGGCTAATAGAAGACCGCAGAGTGCGTCGAGCTGAGCAACAACGCGTAAAATCGAGAACGAAACGGGATCTAATTATTAAACGCGGTCCGTCCAACCTGAGAACCGTTCTCAACGACGAGATGTGGCCTCAGATGTGGTACTTGGTTAGTTGGATTTTAATTTTTATCCGATCTTGCATAAAATCCTGTAATATTGTGTAAATTTGCTGAAACGTTTTCTTTTTTTTTTTTTTTTTTAATGTAAAATGTCTGTTTATTTTTTACGAATCTTTAAAATTGATCATTGGTGTCAGAACAGGGGAAAGGG